TCCTGCAAGATCCCGTAGAAATCTGTTTCGCCTTTCACACATATTCCATAATTACTTGTCGCCCGGTGTCTACCATAGTCATAGGTATGAAAAGTATAGCCTCGGGTGAAATACATCGATGATGTAGTGACCTTTGCAACTGGACCTTGGAGTAATTCGCGAAACCATGCGGGATACTGAGGATCGTCATAATCAACCTACAACAAAAAGTAATATAGCTAGACATATTAGACTTAATTTATGGTAATGCATGCATAAAATTTAAGTAATAATAAATACATGTTTCCTCAACCACTTGATAAAGTGTTGATCTTTCCTTTTCTCTAACTCAGGTGTCGATATACCAGGTATTGCTTCCTCGACTTGAGTCACAAATTGGCTGTAAAATCATATATGTTATGTTATATATTTAATATTGAAATATATGTATATATATATATATATAACTGTGTATGTTTATATATTTACCTTTCAAAATAAGCAATCAATGGATGCTCGCAATTAAGAAGAATATAAAGGTGTGCACTATGGACGTCTTCATCACTCGACCACCAAATCTCTTTCAATTTCCCACCCAATCGCCCAATTTGAGAAAAGATGTCTGGAACATCGTCTTCCATATATGTTGGCACGACACCACCATCATCATATCTTCTTGGAGCTCGTTTCCTTGTACGTACTTTCGGTGCAAAGTAGTACGATGTGAAATGTGATGTTTCTTCCGTCAAACTTCCCGCAACAATAGAACCTTCAACTCTTGCTAGGTTTTTGGCTTTTCCTTTCAAAATTTTCATGGCCCTTTCATACTGATACATCCATCCATAATGCACAGGTCCACGAAGAAATGCCTCATACGGGAGGTGGACAACTAGGTGTTCCATGACGTCGAAAAAATTAGGCGGAAATATTTTCTTCAAGTTGCAGATTAAGACAGGGATGTTTTCATGAAGTTGTTGGACAACTTCCACTTTAAGAGTGCGGGTGCTCAGATCCCTAAAAAATGCTCTAATTCCTATATA